TGTGTAGAAAACAAATGAAGCACCGCTTCCTGGTGGGCTTCCTGCGATGCTATCTGTCATACATCGTCAGTCATTCTGAGGGAGGGATGCAGGATGGACGTACAGAGACCGTCCGTACGACTGCTTTCATCCGTCCCCCTCAGGGTTGGCTGGAACCCTAATTTCAATTAGAAACATTTAAGGTATATTTTCATTTTGTTTTATTAGGAAAAAATTCTCGTTTTCAGAGAAACTAGCTTTTCCTTTTCTATAATGATTTGGACTCCCAGACCAGACGTGAAAAAAATGGCGTCACAAATAGAAGCACGCCTGTGCCCGTCACTTGCTCTCCGGCTAGTGCGTCAGCCGGACGGAGAGCTAGGGAACATGAGGAGAGCCGGGAAGGGAGGAGACGTGAGTACAGCATAGAGGGAGGGAAGCTAGATGACTGTTTGATGGGACGTCCTGTCGGGCCTCGACAGGGACAGTGTCGTGACGACGATTGATGTCCAAAAGAGGATTAGGGCGCTGGGCGCCGGCTGCGGTGGACGACAGCCTAACCGCGGATTGATGTGAGGGATCGTTGCAACCAGATACCCATCAACGGCAGCAATCTCTGTTGTCAGGCTGTCGGGCCCCTGTCAGGCATAGCGCTTCCATGAACGTAAGACGCCTCTTTTAGCCTTTGTCGACATGTAGCAGGGATTCCGGTAATCACCGTTGACAGATAACATCTGGTGTTATCAGCCATTAGGAGCTATGATATTTTGAATCGGAAGTTACCGAAATTGAGATGCCGAAACTCGTCCCCGGTGGTCGACAGCAGGCGGTCGGATGGTTTGAACTGGTTTTTGTCGCTCGTCGACGTCGTCGTCGCCGACGATTTGTCAGCGTCGACGGGACGTGTCTGTGTTTGCGCGACGCCACCCCGGTGTGTTGTGAGGGCAGGGTGCGGCGCACATGTGGCCCGGGGCGTGGGACCGCGGCCGGTGCACTCACCCCACCCTTCACTGATGAGGGTCACTGGGCCGGGACATACCGACCTGCCCCCGGCTGTGAAAAACGGCCCGCTCATCCCGTGTGACGCGATTCACTGTCACACGTCGTCAGCTGGGGGAATGTGAGCTGAAACGATCGCAAGAAGATGGAGAGAAGCTGATGGGGAAAGGGAAGGGGTGGAAGGGCCACAAAGTTGACAACTTGTACAGCTGTGGCTCGTTGCGGTGGCTGGATGGAGAGATATTATCAACAACCATCTCACCCACGCTGTCCGTGCGACGTTTAGAATTCAGCTGGGACGGGCTGCACAGCCCCGCCATTATCCTTCCTCGAAAAGTCGTCCCAGCAGGTAGGCTGCTTGCAGGTGCATGACGCGCGTCGGGCAATGTCCCTTAATTGGCTGGGGTGAGAGGCGATGTCGTCTTATCCGACTATTACACCAGGCTGCAGCGCTGCTGACGACTTGAGCCACTTGCGAGGTGGCATAAATATGACTCGCAACTGTTGCAATACGACTGTCATGCAATCGCAGAGACGACGCGTCTTTTAGAAGCTCTTCAGTCCACGTCATTTCGATTCGACTGTGCCTGTCTTCAAACCATCATGGAAGAACAAGGAGCTCATGGCATTGCATGGTAACATACCCTCTACCTCCCCACCCGTCGACCTCGCCTCTCGGTCGAGCCGACCCATCCCATCTATACTGTATGAGTGGTGCGGCCAACGAGCGTTGCAGAGCCTCGGAGCGGGTTTAAACAGCCTCTAACGACGGTGCAATGACTGGCGGTCGCGCTCCGGTGCCCCACGAACGCTGACCGCGCGGCAGAGGCGGCGGCCGTGGCTTTGGTGAGGCAGTTGTAGCGCAGGGGCGCTAATGCGCCGCACTCTGCCGGTCCACTAAGCTGAGATTAGCGCCGCCGGGGGTGTCTGCTGTTCCCGCTCGGGTGCCTCCGTCGACTCTGCTCCTGCCGCTGCTACGTCGGCGATGGGGCGGTGACGGCGGGCCGACGTTCCTCTGTTTTCGGTAGAGGGGAGTGTCGGACGGTATTGAGCGAGAGACGCCTCCGCGGCTCGCTGCGACGGTTGGGCGTCTTCTCCGGCGCCGATTTGGTCCTCCCCTGAGGCACGGAGTCCGGAAATGCGCTGCGCGAGGGATAATGTGCGTGGGGTGACTCCACGCCTGGCAGAGGCACCCTGTAGCGGCTTGGACGGAGCCCAGCGCCGACAAGGTGGTGGTGGTGGTGATAGTGTCAGAAGTCTCACGCCAACGAGTTAGGTGAATCGTTTGAGTTGGCACACCCTAGGTGTTTGTGGAATGCCAACTGAGTTATTCACGACTGTTTGGCCCCGGTGATGTCCTTCAGTTCGATGTGTCCTGATTTTGTCGTTCTCTTCGACCATCGTTCGGCCTAGATCAGTGGTTTTCAGCGACCCGAATTCGCGTCAGAGCGTGTGACGGCGCACGCCTGGTTAGTGGGTTCTGATTTTAGCCCAGGGTGGGACGCTAGACTCATTTTATCATCCAGTGAGGCGGAGGGGTCGGACGCTGATGCATCGATGATACAACTCATCGATGATGGCCGCGTTAGCGCAGCGGGCAAATCGTGCGGATAGAACGCCGCTGGACCGAGAGACTGATACTGGCCATTGCCGGGCGATGGGGTCATTATTCCCAGCCTTCGATTTGGATCAGGCCAGTTTTTGTTGCTGGCCTTTCATTCGTTTGAAATGTGTATCACTGAGACACGCTAGTGGTTTCTAGGGCCGGTTGGCTTGTCTAATTAAATATTCGTCGAGATAAGAACCATTCTCACGGAGCAGTGGGCGCATATGGGCTTAACTACGAACGATTACTGGACATTGGCTTTGTCACGACAACCCGTTAGCTCGCCGGTTTGTGATTCACGTCTCAGTACTTGTGAACTGGCCACGTGGCCGCCAGCCTCCTTACTCAACGACACGTCACATTGAGTAAACTAACGGGTCACCGCCAGGCCGCCTTTCCCTGAGATGAATCAATAGCGACGTCACTGCCTCCCCGTTGAAACGGGTCGCGAGAAGGGTGTCACTCATCGGATCGACACGCATGTCAATTAGTTGTTGGTACTGGGACGAATCACGTCTCTAGTTTGTGTATGATTGATGTCCGGAGTCCGGACCATGCACTGGCCATGTTGGGCCAGAGGTGCCGTGGCGCCGCGCCGGACGCTCGCGTGTCTGGGCTGTTGTCACCACGCCGGAACAGTGACAGGTCACGTTAGCAGTGTGTCACCCAACGAGACGTGCGCACGTGCAGACTCAGCGTACCCGCCGGGAGGGGCTGTCTCTGCTGAGAGGAGGGCTGGGGGCGCTTTGGGGCTGTCGCTGCGGTCCCTCGCAGGTCTGTGTACGCTCCTGTCAGCTTTCTCGCGTGTGTAGACTCTGGCGACTGTGGATGGAGACTCATTCACGTCGGCAGCGCTCTCGCCAGTCGCCGCCGGTCGCCACTCTCCATAGAGGCGGGAGGTCACTGCTCTGGTCACGACTCCCTGCGGAGAGGCCAGCTGGCTGTAATGGAGGCCGGGAACTAGTTGGCCAAGTCCGTCTAGACGAGACGCGGTGATGTTGCCTCCTACAGCGTATGATCACCGTTGTAAACCCTGATGGCGTGGGCATTATCTTCTCATTGGGACACCGCAGGAGCGTCACGGCCTCGCTTCATCAGCCTGAGTGTCATCTGAGGTCGGGGTATCGTTAGTGAAGCCATTCGTGGCACCGAAGTCCTCCCCACGGTTACTTGATACACTGATTGGCTATCCTTTCGGGACGTCTGGGCCGACCGGTGCGACGCGAAGGACCGGCTGTCGTCTGATGGCGGCTAGGGTTTCGTTCGTCCCGAGAAAATGCCACCATCGCTCGATTGAGCCAATCGACGCCAATAAATTCATCCAGGCGCCGGTGGGTCGCCGCGGGATGTCAGTGCCTCTTTTGTGGAGAAGGTGAGAGAGCGACGAACTTAAATCGCCGGAGCATCGCCCGGCGTTGGGAGGGTGGGATGAAAGGGATCAAAGGCCTCGAGCTCAATTTCCTAGATAGTGGGATCAGCGTTTACCTCGCGTGGGCCATTTTTGGTCGTGACGTGCGGCTGGATAGAAGCACCTGCGTGGGATGGTATTTCGGGCCACTGTAGCAGCCAGCGCAGGGGATTATCTGCTAAGTTCTCTCCTGCCAAGAGTGGGTGGCGAGGGGCCAAAGTCAGCCCGGTAGTGCCGCATCCCATCCGCGGCACACGCCAGCCGTTCCGGCTGTTTGGCTGGGGAGGAAGGTCGCGCCTCGCGTGCGGCGTGTCGCGTGCCAGTTGTTGCATTGGAACGCCCTTTGGTCCGGCAGCGACCCCGCACACAATGGGGAAGTGCGTGAAGCTGTGGGGCGTCTCTGGACGCTCTCTATTCTTCTGCCCTCCCTCTGCGGCGGCGGCGACCGCAGAGCTACATAGAAAAGCCGGGCGCCGTCGTTTGTTTTGCAGAATCGGCTGCCGGAGATGCAGCCAGATATGGCGAGCCACAAAGGCGCACGGGCCGGCTCAAAGGCGCAGTCGTGTCCTTGTCGGGCCTCGGCGAGATTACAGAGTTTTTGGGCGAATTATACGCTGCGTCGCGTCACGAGAGTTGGTGGCCTCGCTCGTCGTGAGGCGGGTCCGACGCCGCCGGGTCACGCCACCTGCGCCGCGCGTCGCCGCAGGCGGTTGACCCCGGCCAGCCCGGTGGACACGTGCCTCCGGCGAGGACCTCTCCCCTCCCAGTATGTCGACCCGCCGTGCTGGCGAGCCGCGCTGTTTGTTTGAAGCCAGCGCCTGCGAGCTAGTGTTTGTTTGAGGTGTTGTTTGCCGTCGTCTCTGTTGACGGTCGGGACCGCCGGCCTGGCTCCGCCGTGACACGCCGTAACCCGTGTCCGACCCGTCCCATGTTTGACCCCTGTCGCACGTGTGACCCCCGTGACCTGTGTGACCCTCCACTGACCCGGGCACTCTCTCTGGTCGACAGATCGCGCGAGAGATCGACTTGCACCGCCACCTGCGGCATCGCAATGTCGTTCGCTTCGAGCACTGCTTCGAGGACTCTGAGAACGTCTACATCATCCTCGAGTACTGTCCGCGGAAG